AATATAATGATTTTACGAGATTCGCAATTTTCGTTCATTTACACAGATATAAAAATAATGGACAATTTATCTCTCTATTTACTGCTTTAATATTCACCACTTAAATCCTCGGTTCAATACTTCCACTCTGCTACATTTCCCTATCATCAGAAACAGTCTGATTTTGTTAAAAAAAGTCCATTAAAGGATCAACGATTTATCTGATAAAGGGGCCCACTGAATGTTTCAGATACGGCTGAAAGTAGGGTGAACAAAGATGATAAATTCTGTATTTATTGTTTGTTGGTTTAGTACATCTTCTCGTTTATTTATACTCGTATGAATACAAAGTAAAACTGTGTATGTACTTTAATAATTTACGAGTTAACCCCCTCGCCTGACCATTTACTCCCTTGCACGTCCTGAACAATCCTATTCACTTGGAGAAAAACAACACAAGAAAAACATTAAAATACAGTTTGGTTGTTCGTTTACAGTTTTGCCATTTAGGCTGGAGGAATACATGAATAAGTTATGCAATTTAACAATTCTTATGTTAAACATGTGAACTGATTTTCGGCCTGTCACATTCACTTAAAACAGTATTTTCTCTAAATTCTTTAAAATAAAATAAAAAAATAAATATTTTGACTTGTTTTGATGATGATTTATATATTTATTATTGCGGTCAAATCTGATATTATTTATTTTTCTTTTGTAGCAATTCGTATGCTAATTATCTAACACCGAACAAAGAATAATCCTTGAAAATTTAGACTTTTCACATTAATGCTTCAATTTTTAAAAACTAGAGTAAACAAAGATTTAAAAAAATTGAACAACCAATTGCGCTGAATTCTTCCTCTTTGTGTGTCCGCTTAATGAGTCGGTTTTTAATTCTATATTATTGTTCTATTTTGTTTGTGTTTAGTGCAGATAATTAATACAATTTTTCGGCTTTGTTTGTTCGATAGGTTTATGGTCTTCTTTTAAATTAAATTTTTGTGTGCTTTTATTAGGTTAAGGTTGGTTTTTACAACTTCTATATTGTTGTTCTTTTTTTTTCTTTTGTCTGGGTTTAACGTACATATTTTGTCCAACTTTTCGGTTTGGTTGTTGATATTATCTTTTTTATGTGTTTTGCTTCATTTTTTTCCTTTTGTGCATTTTTGTTAAGTTTATGTTAGGAAATAAATTGAATTAATAATTAAATACTAATTAATTTGTTGAATTACTGCATTAACCTCATTCCCCCTTTTTCATACTGTAACCAGTTTTTATGAAATAAATAGTTTGATCTGTTATGTTCAGAAAGTTATGTTAAATCTGTTACAACAACGCGATTCCTAGCCAAAATTAACTTGGGGTTTGTACAAGACCCTTTTTTGCTAAATTTAATCGTTTGTGGGTCGTCGTTGGTGGTAGGTCATCCTGTTGATACAAAAAGCATACACCTCACGCCACTTTCATCGGGCATAACTAGAAACGGTCAATATTATCAATATTTACCTTTCAGTAAAAGTGGCATAAAATAAGTTCCAGAATCGAATTGTATAATAAAAATATGGGATTCCCATTTAAAATAACAAAGTTAGTGTCATTTCCCTCCTAGATAAGAATGTTATGTTAAACGTGTGGTGATTAGTGACCGATAGTCGATGATTATTCGGAAATCGTGATGTGCGGATGGGTGTGATGTAGGTTTCAGAAAAACATTTTCTTTATCGTGCCAACGTTTCGATCTTTATTGACATCATCTTCAGGGCCTGGAATTTACAAACATTGTTTAAATTTAACAAATACATCTAGGATGTGTAAAAAAAGTAAATTTATACAATGCAAAAAATATTTTTTATATAAAATCAAAGTATTTCTACTCACTCAAAATGTTTGTTTTCTGCGTACAAAAAACGTGGAAAAAAGTGAATTTATACAACGCAAAAAATATTTTTTATATTCAATCAAAGTATTTCTATTCACTCAAAGTCTTTGTTTTCTGCGTATAAAAAACGTGGAAAAAAGTGAATTTATACAATGCAAAAAATATTTTTCATATTCAATCAAAATATTTCTACTCACTCAAAGTGTTTTTTTTTCTCCGTACCAAAAACGTGCGTTACGCAGAAAACCCTTTGAGTGAGTAGAAATACGATTGAATATAGAAAATATTTTTTGCATTGTATAAATTCACTTTTTTCCACATCCTACATGTATTTGTTAAATTTAAACAATGTTTGTAAATTCCAGGCCCTGAAGATGATCTCAATAAAGATCGAAACGTTGACACGATAAAGAAAATGTTTTTCTGAAACCTACATCACACCAGACCGCATCTCACGATTTCCGAATAGTTATGTTAAATCTGTTAACACCACGCCATTCTTAGCCAAAGTTAACTTGGGATTTGTATAAAACCATTTTTTGCTAAAGTTAATCGTTTTCGAAAAAGGTTGGTGGGCCAGCTAGTTACAAAAAAAGCATACCCCCAACGCGTCTTCCGTCGGGCATAACTCAGAAATGGTCGATCGTATCAAAACTTTCCTTTCAGTAAAATTGGTATAAAAGTTCTAGAATCGACTTGTATAATAAAAATATGGGATTCTTATTTAAAATAAAAAAGTTAGTGTCATTTCCCAGCTAGATGAGAAAATTATGTTAAATCTGTAAACACCACGAGATTGCTAGCCAACATTAACTTGGGGTTTGTATAAGACCATTTTTTTTCTAAAGTTAATCGTTTCCGAATTAAAATGGGTGGACTATAGTAGTTTCTAGCGGCACAAAAGGAGAAGCTACAAGGACAACGTTCGCCCGTCAGTCGAGAATAAATAAAAACAAATCTAAGCACTCAAATAATATTAACGTTTTGTTTTACAATATCAGAAGAATTAAATCTAAAGAATATATATTCTTTGGTAATAAGTTTGACAAATTGCTGTTTGTGGAAACCTTTTCGGTTGAAGAAAACTAAATATCGAACTGTACAATAAAAATATGGGATTCTTAATTAAAATAACAAAGTTAGTGTCATTTCCCAGCTAGATGAGGAAGTTATGTAAAATCTGTAAACACCACGCGATTCCTAGTCAACATTAACTTGAGGTTTGTAAAGACTATTTTTTTCTAAAGTTAATCGTTTCCAAATTAAAATGGGTGGACTATAGAAGTTTCCAGCGGCAGAAAAGGAGAAGCTACAAGAACAACTAAATTCACTATTTTTCGTGGTCCGCTTGACCAATCAATAGCATTCAATTAACTAAGGTTTTTAAGTTGAGATAAAAAAGTCAGTGTCACGAGCGGGGTTCGAACCCACGACCTTGATACACCGCTACTCTACCACTTGAGCTATCGTGACTTCAATCCCCTCGGCCAGAGTGGTTAGCATGAGAGACTCTCACGCCGCGGTCGTGGGTTCGATTCCCACCGTCGCCTCTGGCCCTTTTTTCCCGATAACCCCCAATTTGAACTTGAACACACAAGAATTCGTACCATGGCTAATATGCAAGATCATAAGGCCAATAAAAAAAAAAAAAAATAAATAAATAAAAAATCCCCTCGGCCATTAACTTCCCATCTCAACCCCACCTTTTGAATTTTCTCTCCTTTTTGCCATTTTTCAATTTTTTTTTAATTTTTCGGCGTATCAAGCCCAATGTCGTGGGTTCGAATCCCGCTCGTCACACTGACTTTTTTATCTCAACTTAAAAACCTTAATTAATTACAAGAACAACGTTCGTCCATCAGTCGAGAATAAATAAAAACAAATCTAAGCACTCAAATAATATTAAATTTTTGTTTTATAATATCGGAAAAATTAAATCTAAAGAAAATATATTCTTTGGATTTGTTAATACGTTTGATATATTTATGTTTGTGGAAACCTTTTTAGTTGAAGAAAACTGAATACAGAACTGGACAATAAAAATATGGGATTCTCATTAAAAATAACAAAGTCAGTGTCATTTCCCAGCTAGAAAAGAAATTTATGTTAGATCTGTTAAACCCACGGGATTCCTAGTCAAAATTAACCTGCGGATTATATAAGAACATTTTTTACTTAAGTTAATCCGTTTCAGAATTAAATTGATGGATTATAGAAGATGATTCACCCGGTTTCCCATACCCCGAACCGATGTTGTGGGTTCGAATCCCGCTCTTGACACTGACTTTTTCCTCTCAACCAACACCTTAGCGAAGAAGAATTAATTGAAATTTTATGGTCAATTATGAAAGCTAAACATGTATGGATTTTCTTCTTTGTTTCCATAGCAACATTTTTAGTAAAATTGTTTTACTCAGTTTAATTTTTTTTTCATTACTCACGATTACTCCATTCCCAATTACCACGTAAACGTCTGAAATTTAATTTTATTAATCCAGAGCGGCTGGCAATGGGTAGCTTTCTCTATAACGCCCGTAATAGCACAAACATAATTGAAATCCAATCTGTTGCTTAAATATACATGTACAGTTGTAAATAAAATAGATGAAATTTTTTTTCGTATAGCTATCTTTTTTAAAAATATGCAGTAAACAAAAAATACCTAAATAAATAAAAATCATAACGATTGCAAGTACTTACTAAAAAGATGAGGTTAGCCACTTTTTTTTGCCCTTCGGTTGACATTAAAGTGATTTGAGTATTATAAATCCAACTTCCAACTCCAAGTGAACAAATATTTTTGACAGGTCTCTAACGGTTTTATTTATAAAAAAACTTGCACTGCCTTTTCTATCAGAGTTTGTTGAAAAGATTTGGTAAAAGGTCAATATTTTGTGATTCGAGTGGCTTGAGAGTAAAACCATTTGGATGTAATTCAAAGTTTTTAAAGAGAATAGGTTTTTGATGAACGTGCCAGTGAGAAAGTGGACTGAGGGTTTAATTCAGTTAGTTTTCGCTTTGAAGTTCCCTGGGTGGCGGTTGTAAAGAATGTTATTAGACTGTATAAAGTGAAGGTATTGATGTTGGGAAAAGAGGGGGGGCGGTTAAGGGGAAGGGGCGTCGAGTAGTGGGAAAGAGTGGGGTCTTCAGTCTCGAGGTGCAATCCGTCCCAAACGGGACGCCCGTCTAACGCCCGACCAACGGAAAAATTCCGGTTGTTTTTTTGTTTTTCAGTTGAAAATATAAATTCGGGTGAGGAGAAATTTTCCGAGGTTGAAAATCGCGTTGGAGAGAAGCGGAGTTTGCCCAGTGTGTTGTGGTGAGTGCGCGAGTGTAATGTGGCCGAGGCATGGATGAGAGGCGGCAGAGCCAGAGATCGAGGCGGCGGGCTTCGAGGATCCTCGCGGAAAAGAGGCGGCGTGGGGCGGCGCTCAGCTGCGACGATGAGTCCCCGGCGAGGGAGAGGGCCAAGCCGCCCAGGAGGAAGAAGAAGGAGCCACTTTACGAAGAAGACGTCGTCGACGGATTCGCCATCCTTTCTTTCAAGACCTTCGAAGACATTGAGGTAAAATTAAAATTTACATTTCAATCCGTTACTTGTTGAGGCGCGCTCCCCCCCCCCCACGGGTGATCGATTCGCGCATTTTTACCGAAATCCCCAAGGCAGAAAAAAGTTCCTCTAGGATATATTAGGAAGTAGCTCAAGTAGAGGAAAAGGATGAAAAACAGCGATGACGGACGGACCGAAATCCGAATGGAAAACCTCCGTCTAACCTACCGTGAGAAGCGACATCTGCCTGTATGCATTCAAAGGCCCTCGACTCCGTTCGCTTCTTCCTTTAAGTCCGCTTCTAGTCCAATTCCATTCCTAGTTGTACTTACGTCCCTTTATTATTATCATTTTTTTTTATAAACGATCATGACAGTGGAAAACGTTCCACAGCATTAATTAACAAAGAAAAAAAATCCGACTTCATCCACTCAATTATAGTGGCATTCATTTTTTTAATTAATGAGATTTCATTTCAGTTGCAAATTTATACGGTCTCAATTAGCATAAAATGTACTCAAAGTTTTAAATAATAACGACTTACAAAAACCTCAAAAATTAGTATAAAAGTAATAATTAAATAGATTCACAAATGAGTTAGTCGTTACCAACTTTAAAAAAAATAACCTCAACACGGGTTAAGATGAAATACGAAGCATTTTTTACGATCTTCTACTTTACTTAAAACGCAGAAACTTATTTATTTTTAATTTTTTCTGTGATCTTCTTTTGAAGATAAAGATAACTACAGATTTTTACGGCAAATGCCTTCTATATAAAAAGACATATATAAGTGTGTACAAGCATGGATTAAAACAGTCTGACGAAGGTTGTTACCTATATCATAAAAACAACGAGGAAAAAATTAATTAAAAAGGAATTTTATATGACGACAGATGCATAAAAAATTAAAAATAAAACAACATAATAGTAGATAAAAAAAATATTACAGACCAATAGAAAGGAAAGACAATTAAATTTCCTTCAGAAGGTAATATAACAACCATAGCTAGGTATTTGCAAATAAAAAGGCTTCTACATAAAAAGAAATGTATGTATAAGTGTATACAAGCATGGATGAAAACGGTGAACAGGTCACGTCCCATATCATAAAAACAATAAGGAAAAAACAAAAAAAAAACTCACAGACGCATAAAAAATCAAAAACAAAACAACTTACATAAAATACACAAATAAAATATTACAGACCAATAGAAAGAAAAAGAAGACTTTACATGCTTTCTTTATTTTACTCGTGTTATTATGATTTTACGTATAACTCATTTATTGATTTGCTATCTTAAATTAAATAAGATGTAATTAAATAGATACACAAATGAGTTACACGTTACAAACTAATAAATAAAAAAAGTAAACTCAATGCGGGTAAGATACGGGCTCCTACTTGATTTAAAATGCAGAAAAATATTTATTTTTAATTTTTCTGTAATTTTCTTTAGAAGGTAATATAACAACTATAGATAGATATGGATTCTACATAAAAAGATATGTATAAGTGTATACAAACATGGATTAAAACAGTCTAAATGCGGTTACTTCCTATATCGTAAAAACAATGAGGAAAAAAAATTAAAAAACCGACAGATGCAGAAAAAATCAGAAACAAAACAGTGCATAAATAAAATATTACAGACCAATTGAAAGAAAAGACTTTGCAGGTTTTCTTTTTTTACCCCTGTTATTAAGATTTGTTTGTTAGTTTTTCTACATATACCTCATTTATTGATTTATTATCTTAAACGTCTCACATCATTAGTTAAACAAAGGAATAAAATTCGTTTACATCAACTGTCAATTATAGTTGCATTTATTTTTAATTTATTGGATTTCGTTTCAGTTGCACTTAACGTTTTAGGTAATAACAAATTCCAAAAACCATAAAAATTAGTATAAAAGTAATTGAATAAATACACAAACGAGTTACACGTTACAAATTAATAAATAAAAAAATAACCTCTACACGGGTTATTTATTAAAAGTAATTTATTTTTAATTTTTTCTGTAATTTTCTTTATTAAGTAATATAACAACTATAGATAGATATTTACAAATGAAAAGGCTTTTACAGAAAAAGAAATGCATAAATAAGGAAAAATACCAAACAATAAGGAAAAAAATAAAAAAGCCGACAGGTGAATAAAAAATCATAAAAATAACCCAACATACGCAATAATACATAAATAAAATGTTAAAGACAAATAGAAAAGAAAGAGATTGCCGATTTTCTTCTTTTTACTCATGTTATTTTTTTCCTGTTATTCCGCTTTTTTTTTTGTTAGTTTGTTACGTGTAATTCATTTATTGATTGACTACCTTAAACGTCCCACGTCATTAATTAGCAAAGAAAAAAAATCCGTAATCGTCAACTGTCAATTATGGTTGCATTTATCTTTAATTAATTAGATTTCGTTTCAATTGCAAATTTATACTGCCAAAATTAGCACTTAACATTTTGAGTAATAATGACTTACAAAAACCATAAAAATTAATATAAAAGTTATTAAACAAAAAAGTGTCTATATACAAATGAGGTACACGTTGCACAGTGATAAATAAATAAAAAACAAACCCAACGGGTAAGATAAAGTACAAAGCATTTTTGTTTGAATTAAAATATTTGTATTTTTTTAGAAGGTTATGCAACAACTATAAATAGATAGATAAATACTTTAAATATTTACAAGAAGAGAGAGACAAGAAAAGACTACTACATAAAAATAAATTTATAAGTATATTCAAACATTGATTAAATCCTCTTGGAGGTCGTTGCGGATATAATAAAAACAACAAGGAAAACAATTTTAAAAAAATTATATTGGCTACTTTTGTCGTACATATTATTTTACAATAAACCTATACAGAAATGAGTTACATGTTACAATCCAATAAATCAAGAAAATAACCCTATCATGGTTACGATGAAGTATAAAGCGTTTTGAAGGATGTACAAAATACAGATACAAAATGCTGAAAGTTGTTTATTTATAATTTTTTCGTGGCTTTTTAAAATCTTTTAAATGTATTAAATATTTTAAATATTTACAAGAAAAGAAAAGGCAATTACATAAAAAAAGAACTTTAGAAGAAACATAGATTAAATCCGCTTGATGGAGGTCGTTGCCGATATAAAAACAACAAAAAGCAAAACTATTTAAAAAGCCGACAGGTGGATAGAAAACAAAAACAAAGTAACGTACGTAATAACAAACAAACAAAATAAAACAGAAAAATAAAAAGGAGAAACTTTTCCGGCCTTCTTCTTTTTACTCATGTTATTATTTTTTGTTATTATATTTTGTATATTAGTTTGTTACGTTTACCACATTAATATATTTATTAATTTATGATAGCTACTTTCTATTTGCAAATAAATCTGTACCCAAATGAGTTACACGCTACAGAACAGTAAATAAAACAATAATCCCAGTACATGAAATATAAAGCATGACTTATAAGTCCTACTTAATTTAAAATGCGGAAAGTTATTTATATTTACTTTTTCCTGTGGTTATTTAGAAGATAATGCACCAACTATAGATAGATAAATACTTTAAATATTTACAAGAAAAGAAAAAGATTATTACTAAATTTAAAATTTTCTGACGATGAATGCTGCTTATGTAATAAAAATATGGAAAAATATTAATTAAAAAGGAATGTCACACAATCTTCAAAAAAATTTGCAACCATTTACTAAAAACCTAATTATGTCAATTTGTAGGCATCTTTAACATTGTTTAGCCTTGATGATGACCGTAAAATAGGTCGAACCATAGAACCATAGAATTTGTTTTTTCGTCCAGACCATATGGAGATCCAGATTATTGGAGACTAAAAAAAGTGATCGATACAGCTAACACTTTAAAGAGAATCTTCGTCTTTTTTACTCATGTTCGCATTTTTTGTTATTATCTTCTTTTTATTAGTCAAGACATAAAAATATTTTTTAACATTTTCTTACGTATGTTCACATTTTTTGTTTTAATTTTGTTTGTTAGTGTGGTACGTGTAACTCATTTATCGATTTATTAACTTATGTCGGCTTTTTCCATAAGCAGGTTATTTGCTAATAAATCTAAACACACATGAGTTACAAATCTACTTACAGTACTGAAACGTATGATTTAACATAGTAAATTAAAAAGAGGGACAAAAAATCATGGATAAGGTCTACTTGAAACAAAGGAAAACTACTTTTTCTTTGTCTTCTTCTGAATTCTTATTAATAATTCACAAGAATGACGATTTGAAAAATAGATGTTTTCATTTTGGTGTATTATTTAGGAATTAACAAATTTCCTATTCTTTGTGAATAAAGTTTACGATTCAGGAAATAATAAACCATTGAAATCCAAAACATTTCGTTAACCCTTCCTCAAACTTTAGAATTTTATGTTCGCAGATTTCCTCGTTTCAATGCAAATAATGATGTTTTTATACTATTTATTTAGGCTGATAATCGAATTCAGTGGAGTGGGAATTGGTTTAATTTGAGTTTTTTATCAATTAAAAAAAGAACTGCTAGTCCTTAATCTTAAAAACATCATAACTTCTAAACCAATAGCTCGATTTTCATGGAACAAAGTGCATTCGAAGTTCAATTTAAACTTCTAATAAAAGTTAAAGTTCAATTGCAATTTGAACTTTTCTCCTATCTCTAGTAATTAAGGCGAAAACCATCCTGTATATTCATTTGTTGAAGAATGTCAAGTATCAAATATAACTATTGGTAATTTTTTTAATGTTTAAGAACAGACTTATGTGTAGACTAAAAACTACCTATGAAGGTGTATTCAGTAGTTGAATGATAATCCATAAATATCATACTTTATAAGGGGTGAGACTATTTTTTAAATTAATTAATTGTATTATTTGGCGGGCTAGCACCTAGGTCTATTGCTGGCTCCTCATGTTTATTTTGTTTGTCTCAGATTTGTTTTATTACCTCTTTCTTTGATTTTTAACCCTTCCACACGTGATTAAAATGCCCTAAG